CAGGCGCCATGCTGGGCACGGGATTCTGAGTGGAGCAAGATGGGTGAGCCTGCTTGGTCCTCCCTGCAGATGCTGACCACACGCTGCTATGACAAATGAATAACTGCAAACTCAGGCTTGCAGAGAAAGCAGATGACAAGAGGAAAGGGTTTTATTTTCCCCTTAGAAGTGTCATTTAAGGCCAGGCCTGGTGGCTTACGCCTGTAATCCCAGCACTTTGGGAGGCCAAGGCAGGCGGATCACCTGAGGTCAGGAGTTCAAGACCAGCCTGACCAACATGGAGAAACCCTGTCTCTACTAAAAATGCAAAATTAATTGGGCGCGGTGGCACATGCCTGTAATCCCAGCTACTTGGGAGGGTGAGGCAGGAAAATCGCTTGAACCCGGGAGGCGGAGGTTGCGGTGAGCCGAGATCGCGCCACTGCACTCCAGCCTGGGCAACAAAAGCGAAACTCCATCTAAAAAAAAAAAAAAGTGTCATTTAACTGGGGACTGGAAGGGTTGGTTGTCATTGACTAGGTGAAGGAGAAGGGGACTGCATGCTAGCAGAGGGGACAGCTTGCACACAGGGCCTGAGGCAAGAGAGAGCTTGGTCTGCTCAAGGAACAGAAGGAGACTGGTGTGACTGAGGGTTACTGAGAGCGCATGGAGGGCTGAGGAGTGAGGGCAGGGGGTGCACTGAGGACTGGGACTTTGTCCTGGGGGTGCTAGGGAGCCATGGAGGACTATAAGCAGGGGAGGGAAGTCAATGTTGGGTGTAGGAAGACTGCTCTGGGGCCTCTTGGGGGCAGAAGGGCAAGAGTGGGAGCTGGGAGGCTGGGGAGAGGCTGGGGAAAGCACAGTGAGCCAGGGCCATGGGAATGGAGAGGTTGGACAGGGCAGAGAGTCAAGGGCGGGCGGGACAGGGCTGGGGGCTGACTCTTCCTTCACTTGGCTGCATCCTCAGGCTTCACTCTGAATGTCACTTCCTCCCTGAAGCCGTCATCGCAGGGCCTCTGTGAGGACAGAGTGGGGGTGCATTCCAGGGTATGGGGATACTGCCAAGTGGTGAGTCAGGGCTGAGCTGGCAGGGCCGGCAAGCGAGAATGACTTCACCTTTAATCATCAGCAGAGGAGATGGAGGGCGCAATCGTGCCAAACCCCAAATCCCTTTGCTCAGTTGACAAATACTTCTGCAGCAGCGTGGGCTACGAGCTACTGCGCCTGTCTGGCTCCCAAGACCATGGCGTGGGGGCCTGAGGCGGGTCCTCTCCTCTGCCCTGCACAGTGTGGCTCTGTCCACTTAGCAAACATTTACTGGGTACTAAGAGATGCCACATAGCCCAAAGTCTTCATGAAGCATGAAGGTCATGCTTCCCATTGAAAGAGGGAAACTGAAGCTCAGGGGCTGGGAGTGAGGGCAATGATTTGACCCAGGCCCCCCAGGTAAGAAGTACAGGGTGGAGCATGAGGGAGCCTGATATGAGGCCCCCAGCGAGAACCTGCACCTCCCGGACCTTAGTTTTCTGGTCTGTGCAATGGATGGGGCTTTCATGCCGCTCGCCCAGGGAGGTCAGAGCTAGAGTCATGGGAAAGTTTGGTCGGAGTTCTTGGGGACAGCTCTTTCCACAGGGAAAAGGGGTGCTTTGTGCCAGACGGCATGCTGGGGACACAGCAGTGACCACAGCCCCTGTCATCACTGAGGTTACATTCTATAGGAACAAGCAGACAGGAAGCTCCTCCACAAGGACAGGGTAGGCCAGGCGCGGTGGCTCACACCTGTAATCCCAGTACTTTGGGAGACCGAGGCGGGCAGATCATTTGAGGTCAGGAGTTCGAGACCAGCCTGGCCAATATGGTGAAACCCTGTCTGTATGAAAAATACAAAAATTGGCCGGGCGCGGTGGCTCATGCCTATAGTCTCAGCACTTTAGGAGGCTGAGGCGGGCGGATCACGAGGTCAGGAGACCATCCTGGCTAACACGGTGAAACCCGTCTCTACTAAAAAAAATACAAAATATTAGCCAGGCGTGGTGGTGGGCGCCTGTAGTCCCAGCTACTCAGGAGGCTAAGGCAGGAGAATGGCATGAACCCGGGAGGCAGAGCTTGCAGTGAGCTCAGATCGCACCACTGCACTCCAGCCTGGGTGACAGAGCAAGACTCCATCTAAAAAAAAAAAAAAAGAAAAGAAAAAGAAAAATAGAAAAATT